CACGCAGGCGAGTAGGGTTTGGGCTGAGCCAAAAGCAGCGTCTCGCTCCGTAGCGGGCAGCAGTTACTTACCTAAGTGTCTTCTCCATCCAGGCTTTGGCTTTGATAGAGCTCTACAACGCTCCCGAAGGCCGCTACAAGCAAGACGTGTACTTGCTGCCTAAGAAAATGGGTAAAGACGTACTCGTTGCCTTCTCTTTTTGGGTTTTGAGGTTGAACAGATGGGAGGTTTTGCTCGGCTGGGCTGAGGACAGCGGGGCATCGCAGCCTCCTGGGCTCTCGTGTTTGCTTCCCTGCCAAGCTCAGGGTCTCCCAGCAAGTTCTTCCCACTGGGTCTGGGCTCTCTGCTAAATTGGACGCGTTGTTTCTCCGTCCCACCTGGGGAAAACAGGCTGACGTGCCTGGCAGACCGTGGGAGTCCATCCGTGCTGATGCAGGAGATTTTCGTGTAGAACTTCTCACCAGCGGAGCTGCCTCCGTTGGCTGCGAAGACGCGTAGTCACTGACCAACAGCTCTGCCAGCAGAACCCCCTCCTGAGGACACAGCTCTACTGACCACGCTTCTGCTACAGAACTGGTCTTTTTTTTTTTTTTTTTGTATTAATTATGGGTTTTGAGACCAGGTGCAGCTTGTCCCTAGCTTGGATGTTAGGTGTCACCTACCAGAAACGTCCAGTGGCTCCTGCATCTGTAGAGCATCCAAGCTTGCCCAAATGCAGCACCAGACCCAGGAATCCTGCTAGAAGGATATTTCAGAGAAAAGTTTTCCCTTCTTACTCAAAATAAGATGAGAGCCTTGGTTTTCTCCATTCAGGGTGAAAAACAGTCCTGCAATTGAGGAGCAAAGGCGTGAGGAGCGATGCCTTTCCCAGCCTGGGCTTTAGGGACCTGGTGCACAGCAGGAGGGGGACTCGTCGCCTTCCCCTTCCCCGTACTAACGAGGCTTGAAATCGTTTCAGATGAGTACGTGGCAAGCCTCCACCTCCCAACGTTCGACGCCCACCTGACGGAACTAACGGACGAACAAGCGAAATACCTGGGGCTGAACAAGAACGGACCTTTCAAACCAAATTACTACAGGTGCTGCTCCTCCTCCTTCTGCCATGAGTGTGGGGTGCATGTGTGGGGGGGGACGGGGTTTAATCCCACCGCTCCCCTCGAGAAGACACCGTGGGCTTTCGGAGAATTCCCGTCGCCGCGTGGAAAGCGGTCCGGCCGGGAAGGGGACGGCGCGGTTGGAGCTGTGACACTTGGCAGGACATGAGCCCTTTGTATCTGGCAGCAGCTGTCCCCCAGACGTGGCACGTGGCAGAGCGATGCCACGCGGCCAACTGGGATGACAGCTTTATTTTTAAAGTTTGACGAAGGGTGAGGAGTGCCGGGGGCTGCTCCGATGGGCTCAGCTCTCCTCCCCCAGCACGGGCTGTGCTGATCCCCCCCCAAAAAATAATAATAATTTTCAATATGAGCCCCTGGCCCCTTCTCTTTCCAGGCTGCTCTTTGCAGCCGACGCTGCAACGCGGTTTTTAGCGTGAAAATGAAACGGTTTTGCACAAACACAGATCAGAGCGTTGGGGGGTTTGAAGCTCAGGTGCTTTTCTTGCAGGAAAAGGCATTTTCTTGGCGTGCAGGTCTTCAGTGCTCACAGGAGAGCAACACCGCACCAAAACATTCCAGTTTGGGGGTTTGGTGGTTTTTGCCAGACCCTGAGCTTTAGTGGAGGAATTTCCTCTGGTTCCATTTTCTTCGCCCTGGTTTCGGTGTCCGGTTGCAGTCCTGACCTTGTGGGGAGGGTGGTTTGTCCCACACACGGAGAAGTCGGGATGAGTAGAGAGTGACAGCAAATTCCCTGCATCAAGGGAGAGCCACAACAAGTCAAACATCCCCCAGGCACCAAGGGATGGAGATGAACTGGGAGAGCTTTGGCTTAGTGTCCTGCAGGAATTTGAGCCTCCGGATACAAAGGGCTAAGAGTCAAGTTTTCCAAAGTTCTGTGTTTTGATGCGTAAGTGCGTAGGACCGGAGGTGAGAGATCTCCAAGTGCACGTAGCTTCTTTTTCCAGACACAACAGTGAATTAGACTTCATCCTCACGTAGCTCAACAGCTTGCTCCGTTAAAGCAAGGACCTCTCTCTCCTTACATGTAGCTTCGTTTGCGATACGAATTATCTGCTTTTAGTTCCCGGCCTATCGGGAGTCCCTTTGGAGAGGGGCTTTTTACAAGGGTATGTGGTGATAAGACAAGGGATAATGGCTTTAGACTGGAAGAGGGGAGATTTAGACTGGATCTAAGGAAGAAATTCTTCCCTCTGAGGGTGGTGAGCCACTGGAACAGATTACCCAGAGAAGCTGTGGCTGCCCCATCCCTGGAAGTGTTCAAGGCCAGGTTGGATGAGGCTTTGGGCAACCTGGTGTAGTGGAGGGTGTCCCTGCCCATGGCAGGGGGGTTGGAACTGGATGATCTTTGAGGTCCCTCACAACCCAAACCATTCTGTGATTCTGTGATTCCCAATAAATTCAGCTGGTTTGAGCCAGGCTTTGGCATTCGAGGCATTTGCTCCTGCACCTTCAGTGTGTCCTCTCCAGTTTCTGAGCCAAACCGCTGCAAACCGCTGGGACTCGGTCCCCGAGTCAATCGGGTGCCGTGGAATTTTCCCCTTCCCGCCCTGGAAGCGAAGGGCCACGTCTGAGCAGCGAGGGCAGGTGGCCACATACAACGTGGTGTTTGTGGGGACGAGATGAGGACCGAGTCCCTTTCCGAATCATTTCTTTCCTTGGTGTCTCTCGCTCCCAAAATACACCACGGTGACGCTGGGCAGCTTCTCACCAAAACCTCATTTCCTCTTCTTTTCCCCAGATATTAAGTTCCTGCCGCTGTATCCCGGAGAATCGCAAGGAACAGGAACCCAAGTCTTTTCTCAACTACTGTACAGGATGAAGCAGCGCAAGCTTCCCAAGTTAGAGCCGGGCTTGCTCACGTAGTAGACAGTGTGTTTAGGTTATTTATTTATTAAATTAGAATACTGTACATGCGGCCTCTGCCACTGGTGTTCGTACTGCCGCGGGACTGGGAGACGGCGGATTTCTTTCTGTTTGTTTCATTTTCCTCTTTGGGTTGTTCTTTTTCGGGACTGGGAGGAATAGGGGAGGTGAGGAAGAAGCTGGTGGAACGGAATCACTGCGATGGACTTGGAACCGTCCGTTGTCACCGTTCATCCGACGCGCACGACGGCAGCCGCGGGATCCGAGTCGGGGGGCGCGCCGCCTTGCTTTTGGTTTCCTTCGCATCCCAGCGCTTCTTCCAGCGGAGCGGGATCCCGGCAGCCATGAGAGCCGCCCGTTTCTCCTGCCGTTTGACAACGCAGCTAAGAACCTCGTCTGCTCCGGGCGCTGCTGACCATGGGTGGTCATGGGTGCCACCATGGCAGCGAAGCGGGAAATCTCGCTGGAGAAACCTCTCGTAATTCCGCCGAGCTGCCCGAGGGACGGTTGTGCCGGTGAGTCGGTGAACTTGGCCTTAGCACTGCTGCAAGCTGTAACGAAGGGTCCGGTCGTTAGCGTCAGCCTGGGATAGCCCTTAGCACGTGGTAGGAGCTGGGAGGGCAGAGCAGTGCCCGCTCGGAGGCAGACGTGGTGGTGGTGGGGTAGGACCCACCACCGCTCCCTCTTCGCAGCTCCGCGGTGTTTTCCTGCTGCTTACGTTACGAGTGCCAACCTCCTACAGTTCAACCAAAGGCGTATTCCGGTGGGGCTACGGGGCAGCCTTGCGGAGCCGCGCCGGTGGAAGAGGCTTGCGACCTCACCGACAAATGCTGCTCACAGGTTGGGGAGCTCTTGCAAACCCAAGCGGAGCTCGTCGGCCATCCTGGCTGGGAGGACCCCTGTCCACGTGAGGTCTTTCTCCAGCTGAATTTCAGTCCTCATTGGAAACCTTTGGAGTTTTATTTTCTAGTAAGATTTGTATGATAAAATCTGTAAATCCCCTTTGAGCGTACAAGATGTACGCCTGAGTAATCCCCGTCCCGATTTTGTGCGCAAGGAAGAGTTCAGCATCGCTAAAACCCTTCAGTCGCCTCAAATCTTGAGGCATCAGGGCCGATGGAGAACAAATTTGCCATAGTTACTCTTTTTAGCCCAGGATGCCCCACCTGAACGCTGTGGACAGCATCAAGGTGACTTTCCAAGTCTTCGTGTCTCATCAGAGTCACTTTCATGGTTCACATGGAGAGTGTGTCCTCCTGAAATAAGATTGCCTGACCCCGTGAGCACAAAAGCCTTTATCCTGTGGTTGCTGCTTTGGTACCCAAGTCCCTCATCAGCTACAGATCTTGTTTTGTCCTCACGGACTTCTTTGCCATCATGAAAAAACTCTTTTGTGGCAGCTCGTTCACGCACAAGAAAGGAAAAACTGTGGAATTACGGTCTCAGCAGACAAGTCCTTCTCATGGCTCTTGATGCCGAGGTCTGAAATCAGCTTGACCGCAAGCTGCTTGTCTTTGGAGCAAACGTTCTCGTACGCTTGCTTATTCCAAGCTTCTCTTTGAAATTTCTCAAAGCCTGGAAGGAAGACCTTGAGAAGACTTTGAAAAGACATTAGGCCTTTGAGGAGACTTTAGGCCTTTGGGGATACTTTGAGAAGACATTAGGGCTTTGAGAAGACTTTGAGAAGACTTTGAGAAGACATTAGGGCTTTGAGAAGGCTTTGAGAAGACTTCAAGAAGACGTTAGGCCTTTGAGAAGACTTTGAGAAGACATTAGGGCTTTGAGAAGACTTTGAGAAGACTTTGAGAAGACAATAGGGCTTTGAGAAGGCTTTGAGAAGACATTAGGGCTTTGAGAAGACTTTGAGAAGACATTAGGGCTTTGAGAAGGCTTTGAGAAGACTTCAAGAAGACGTTAGGGCTTTGAGAAGACTTTGAGAAGACTTTGAGAAGACATTGGGGCTTTGAGAAGACTTCATCATAGACCGATCGCTAACCACAAACTTGAAACCATCTCTACTCATTCATTAATTTTATCCAGACCGTGAGATTTCGGGGAAAAGTCCCCTGAGCTATTTGAAACGTCACGTTTGGGTCTTTCCCCGCGCTGGGGTACCGTGGTCTGCATCCACCAGCGACCCCCAGAGTTTCTGTCGTTCTCCGCAGACGCGCAGCGTGAAATCCCGCTCTCGGTCGAGGTGAAACGCGGTTGCGGGGTCACGTTGAGCAAAGCAGCTTTTGGAAAATAGGTGTCCCAACTGCTTCTGCCCTGGGAAAATCCCTCTCCATCCGCGTGACCCTTCGGCACAGCTCACGCAGTCGCTTACCTCCCCCGTGTCCGTCGCTTGTGCAGCATATGGTGGTGCTGTCCTCACCCGTGAATTCCTTCGTGCCCGTTTTTAAGCCCGTTTCATCTTCCAGGTAGATAGGAGAAAAAGAAAAAATTATTAATAAAATCCCAACTGGCTTTTCCCACCTCGATTTTTAAAGCTCTTCTCCAACGTCGCTCTGCTTCTTCTGTAAGCTTTTTTGCTCGCTTGGCTTTTTCCTAATCAGTCTGGAATCATATTCTGTGATCATCTCTAAATTAAACGTGTAATGGGTTGGGTTTTGGTTTGTTTTGTTTTGGTTTTGTTTTTTTTTTTAACATAACGCATTTTTAAAGAATTAGGAAAAAGGAAATTTAGGTAACACCAGCAAAATTGTATAAGGAAATGAATTCTGTTCTGAACTTTAGAAATAATAAGACAAAAACCTGTCATCAGCTGCAGTGAGGAAACGAGAACTTTGCAGACGTAACATTTCCAAAAGGATGTTTTAAATATTAATGTCTGAGTGATTGTATTAGATCAGCAATAAAGACTCTGTAATCTCAAAACACGAATAAAACATTGGAAAACTCCGCTTCTCCGGAGCATCTTTTGGGTGCGGCGGGAGGAGATGGGGAATTTTTTGGGCTGGGGGGCTACAACGGTGGGGTGTGGGATGGAGATGCCCTGGCGTGGGGGTGGGGATGTTGTTCCCAAACCCGGTGCTGTGCCGTAACCTCAAGCTCCCACCGCTGCCGTGTAAAACCTGGGAAGCTGCTCCAGCAGCTCCATGTCCTTGGGGCAGCCGGGGCTGTTTGGGCTCCGGGCGACTGTTTTGGCTCTTGATGTGCCCTTGGGAAAAGCGGCCTGAGCGGTGCCGGAAAAATCCCGGATCTCTTGCTCCTGCTGTCACTGGCGAGGCCGTGGAGGGAAACGCCGACCTAAAGACTTGGATTTTCCAGTGGCCGGGGAATGATGCGGGACAGGAGCAGCACCAAGATGGGGTGTCCAGCACCTCCCCGGCTGG